AGGCCACCAGGTTGGTCTGATAGGACCTGCCACTAATGAACCCATGTTGGTTGCCCCTAAGCATGACCTCCCCTGCTGGCTCCTTGTGGATATGTGCCAAAATAATTTTCTCAAACAGCTTGCCTAGGATCGAGGTAAGACTAACTGGCCTATAGTTTCCTGGGTCCTCCTTCCTCCCCTTTTTGAAGATGGGAACCATGTTGGCCCTCTTCCAGTCCTCTGGCACTACACCAGAGCACCACGAGTGCTCATAAAGCCATGCCAGGGGTCCTGCAATGACCTCAGCCAATTCCTTTAGTATTCTAGGGTGGAGATCGTCTGGACCAGCTGACTTGAATACATCCAGTCCCTCCCAGAAGTTCCCTAACTAGTTCCTCACTAAACCTTGGCCTAGGTGTGCAACCCCTGGGGCCTGAGGGGGGCCCAGCGGGGGGGTGACTGTTCCGGTCCCTGCTTAGGAAAATGGAGGCAAAGAAATTGTTAAACACGTTGGCTTTGTCGTCTGGTGTGACAACCACATTTCCTAACGTGTCCTGCAGGGGACCCACATTACCCGGAACCTTTTTACCCCCTATGTATTTAAAGAAGGACTTCTTGTTGTCTTTAATCTGGGAAGCTAGTCCCAGTTCCATCTCTGCCTTGGCTTTGCTGACTGCCCCCCTACATCCCCAAGCAACTGCAGTGTAGTCATTCCTGGTGATGTCCCCTCCTTTCCATTAGGTGGTACGCCTCCCTTTTAGCTAGGATACATTCCCGGATGCTTTTGGTGAGCCATGGAGGCTTGTGTGCCCTCCTGCTCCCTTTGATCCTCGTTGGGATAACCTTCCTTTGGGCTTGGAGGATCGTCTCCTTAAGGAGCGATCACTTACCTTGGACACCTGGCTCCCCTCCCCTCTGGGACCTCAGCGCTTCCCTGACTATTCTCCTTATCTCACTGAAGTTTGCCCTCCTGAAATCTAGGGCTGCTGCCTTGCTGCAGGCCTTTGCCACCTTGCGCTGGATGGTGAATTCCAGCAGGCCATGATCACTGTCGCCCAGGTGGTCAAGCACCCGCAGCCCCCTCACCAGGTCATCTCCCGTGGCCAGCACCAGGTCCAACAAGGCGTCTCCTTGGTGGGGCTGTGCACCTCCTGGGTTAGATGGAAGTCCTGCATTCTGGCTAGGAACCTACGTGAGCGGTCAGACCTGGCTGACTGCTCTTCCCAGCAGATGTCCAGGAAGTTCAGGTCCCCCATCCTTAGACTTCACTACCTCTGTAAGCTGACCTAAGAATTCCTGGTCGAGCTCTTCCCCTTGGTTGGGAATCAGCCATATCAAAACAAAAACAGTAGAAATGAAACTTCCCTTCATGCTCATTTATCTATCTTCACCTTCTTCCTTTACATTTAGATTAGGTTACACCATTTCAAAAACATTATAGCTTTGAAAATTCTTTGAAGATATATGCAGGGTATTTATTTCTGACATTGACTGGACCCAGTTTTCAGTCCTTATTACACAGCCAGCAACTTTTTGCAAACACAAGCCACAGCTTGAAACCCAGTCAGTGCCATAGGCCAGCACTCCTCTCCTGCCACTCCAGCGACAGTGAACAGAGGCTGCAGTGAAGAGCAACCCTCCACCTGGGTTGCAGCAGTTGGCTAAAGCAGCTAGAAGCAATTGGCATGCTATTAGCAAAACTTGGACCAAATCAAACAACTGGGAAATTGATGTGCCCTTAGTAAAACGCAGACCGGATCCAATCTCTTTGTAGGCTGTATTTAGCCACAGGCTGTAGGCAGCTAAGCCCTGCCTTACTGAATCCAGTTTTAACTTATCATGGCTGCATTCTTACCTCATGGTATATTGAGGGCTTGGATAACGAAGGGATGGTGAATGATAAAACTTTATTGTTCCCATCTTTATCAGCAATTTCCTGCAGTAGTCAAAGACATAAGGAAACAGGATTTGGAATCTTCTATGAACTTTCTTACGGCAAAGACAGTTAAAACAAATAATAAATCAAGACCTTTTTTCCTTGCAAATTAATTTACTTACAAATTTTTATATTTGCCATTAAAAAACACCAAAAACAACAGGAATGACTCCACTACCACAGGTTGCTTTGAAAAATCCGTATCCAAGCCAATTTACAATGGAGCATTTCCTCCCTTTGAGTGTGTCTACACTATCCAAGTACAGGTAAGGAGTGGTATAACGAGACATTCCAAGTTATGCCCAGCAACAGAGGTAACTGGTTCTGGAGATACCTCCCTAACTATGGCAATTGTGCACATCTCTAATCTCTACTCACAGCTAATTTATTGTCCAGTTTCACAAAACTGCACTGTTGTCAAAGACAGCACAAACAGAACATCTCAGTACAGCACCTATTGGCACCATACCGAAGCAACAAACACAGGCTTTGAAACAACGCATTCCTCAAGGAATCAGAAATGAATTAAAAATCTTCTCAGTTATAACACTTATAAAGCACAAAAATTATATAATGGAACAAGACTGAAGGTGAAAGCCACAAAGTATAAAAGTGCAACAGCTGATGAGTCATTTATTGGCAAGAGGTAGTATATCTTAATAAATCTATCAAAGGGAAAAAGTTGAAAACAAGGCAACTGGCAGGGTTTCTAACAAATATACTGGCAAGGGCAGTGAAAGACTGACAATATTTTCAGATAGCTTTCATATTAAAGTTTTTATTTGCTTAAAGACTGCTAGTTTGCTTGTGTTACAGCATAGCAATTTTAATTTATTATGGAGTAACCCCATATAAAATGTCAAATACTGCTCTCTCCATATTCTACTATGAAATTTCTAACATACTAGAAATTAATTATTCTATTTTAAATAAAAATAGAGCTTTATGGAAGAGAGAGGGGAAGACTAAAGTTGATAGCATTTGTAAAGTCATTTGTCTGGATTTAAATAATTCCTCGTGCACTTTCATTTTCTTTTTTCCCCCTTTTTTAAAGAAAAGTTGTAAACAGGATTGTTTTTCTGTTTGTATCTGGTATGTTTCATGAGAAAGATACCAGCAAAATTACTGTGTCACAAAGAAGGAAATTAAGGTGTAGCCGAGTGAATATCTATTGATTTCTGTCACTAGTAGTAAAAATGGGGACTGCTTCAAACATTTAAAACCTCTCCTTCTATTTCAGTCTGCAGAAAACGTAGCAATACAGTTCTAAACTGCTGAGCTCATGCATGTGTGAATCATTTACATGAGTTCTAAAAGTACCAGCTAAAGCATCTTCATGTAAACTGACTCCAGTGACAGAAATATGAGCTACTTCTCACCAAAAAATAAAAATAAAAAGCTACTAGTCAGGCTTTGATGTCATTTACATCAGCATAAAATCAGTATCTTGATTTTATTGAAATTATTTTGGATTTATAACAACATAGCAAGAGAGAAAATAAATCCAGCTGAGCCATATCATGCTTACCAAGGATATAAAGAAAAAATATTTAAGAACACATCTTGGCAAAAGAAAATTTGTAATGGATTAGAAAAAAGGACAATTTTAGGACAGGCTACACCAAATGCCTGTAAAAGCTGAAATTTTCATTATAGGAAAGGGCCTAACCTGATAACATTGCTAATAAATGACCTAATAAAAACTGATGCAACATTAAGAATATATATTTGCAAGATCTACATCAGTGGGGCCAACCTTTTTAGCAGACACGCCACAAATTAGCCCCACACTCTCCCCAACTACCACTCCAATCCCCTTCTTTTGCCTAAATTCGCTGTCTTGCTCACTGCTTCCCACCCTGTGCTCCCTGCCCAACTGCTGCTCTACTTCCTGCTTCTTGCCCCATCTACCAGCGTTCCCTGCTCCTTCTAGCATTTGCCAGGTGCCACATACAGGCTGTTCACAGGTGGCCACCCCAATCTACATAATTTAATGTCTGTGACAACGTTTTTTTCTGACACTGAAATCACCCTTAAAACTGACTACCAAATATAAGTCTTCAGTTGGAATAACATTTTGTTTTAGTTATAACTGTAACAGAGAAGAGTCCCCCTCTGTGTATGACTTGTGGCCAAATGCTGCTTTAGCCTCTATTTTTTTCCTTAAAATATGTTGAGAAAAAGCAACAGAAAAAGCCCCCCATGAAAAGACTGAGTTAGCACAGGGCTGTTCATCTTTCAAGCAGCTGGGGGTCACCTGCCCTGTAGGCCAAACCAAGACCCACATGCCCGCCTCAAAGGCTGCGCAGGCACCACTGCACTCACCATTGTATTGCAGATACGCATCACTGCCCAGTACTGCACCATGCACCCACATGGTCACCCCTTCCATGCGCTGCACTGGAGGAGAGAGAGAGAGCCCAAAGCCCCCAGCTGCTGTTACAGCCAGAGCAGTGGCCAAGCAGGAGCCACATGTGGCCTACAGGCTACCAGTTGGACAGGCCTGATTTAGCATAACTGAGAAAAGGCTCTCTGTAAGTGTCAACTGTTAGACTTTTAAAAAACAAGAACTACTACATTTTTCTTGAAAACAAAAATATACAAAGGCAACAAAATACTAAGTTAGAAGAACTGGAATCAATGTTAATCAGAACAGTAAGCCCTATGCAGGGGAAATCAATCTGATTTACAAGCTTGTAAAGATAGTCCTACAAACATACTTTCACTAAATGTACATTAAACTGTTTTACCTCCAAGTTAAAAATATCATTACATTACCATTTTTAATATTTTGTTCTTGTGATATTCCTGAGCTTCATTTTATTTTTATTCCTCAGTAATGTAAAAGCATATAAAAAGCTGTTCTCACTCATCCCTTATCTCACTTACCAAATTGTAAATCCCAAGAAGCAATGCTTCAATGCAACCGTTACTCTGTCTATCTCTGCTGGCAGTAAGACGCAGATAAACCCAGATCAATTCTGGCAAAAACTGCAAAGTGAATCTCTTTAGCCGGACTTCTGAACTACGATAGAGTTCAAAGAGCTGGTGGCAGACAGGCTCCAGGAGCTACCAAAAAAAGGACAGAATAGCTTAGAGTTACCATAAGCCTTCTCTTTTGAAATAATTTGTACAAATACATACAAGGTACCTCTACACATGCCATTAAGGCGATGAGATCAACTCCAGTGCAGTTTACGCCAGTCAGCTGCTCCTGGGCTCAGTGTCTACACATGCACCTAGAACCGCAGCCATCTGAACCAGTGTGAAGCAGCTCTGGGCTGGCAGGGGGCCTGGAGGGGTCAGCCCTAAGCTCTTGGTGGTGGTATTGGGCAATGGAGGGGCTGGCTGGGGCACTAGGCTGCTAAAGTGCAGAGCTAGGCAGCAGGCAGCCTCTGCACTTTAGCACACTCCTGCCCCAGTCAGCCCATCACCACCCACATGTCTGTTTTGGCAAGAGTTAAGTACTCCACCTTAAGATAGCATGGTTCCCAACACTATCTTATGGCAGAGTTAATTAAATTTACTGCACCCTAATACTGGCACACATGTAGATGGTGCTGCTTTACTGTGGAGCTAGTTAGTCAACTCCACAGTAAAGTGAATGGGTAGATACACTCATAGGCATCTACAATGCAAAACTACAACTGGATATATTAGCACCCTTGTTGGCAGATCCTAGGAAAGACCAGGAATTGAATGGGCTTAAAGAAAGACTTATCTTCATGCCACTAAGAGTGATATATTGGAAAAGAATTGAGGTACGCTGGCAGGACAGCAAGACAAAGTGCACACTGCCATAGCCCCTATCCTACCTATTCAGTGCAAGAGTGCTTCATTCTCCTAGAACAGTGGTGCTCAACCTTTTAGCCATACAAACCTGGGTTACAAGCTGCGGCTTGTGTTTGCAAAAAGTTGCTGGCTGTGTAAGTGGCACAGAGCCAACCCCGTGTGCCAGGATCAGGTCCCACACTGCCCTCCATGCCTGATCTGGTACACAGGACCATGCCATCTGGCTTGTGGGGCCCACCATGGGTCTCAAAATTTAGCAGCAGGGGAGCAGTAATTACTCCTCCATCACCAAATTTCTAAACCCATGGCTGGAGCACAGTGGGCTAGGTGACACTGTTCCACTGGCTGGATCAAGCCCAAGGGCTATGGGTTGAGCAACCCTGTCCTAGGATGTCAATGAAGTTTTGGAAAGTTTAAAACGAAACAAACCATCTTTTTAACGAATTTGACATCCTATGAACTGCAAGGCTTATTTCCACTGGGGATACCTAGATTCAGTGCATGTAACCAGGATTACTGCCCATGTGACTGGAGGCCTGATCTAAAACCCAGGGAAGACAAAGGAAAGACACCTGATAAAATCTGAGTCAGTTCATAAGGTCAAGGTCTACAACCTTAAATCTATTTTAAAGTTTTTAAAATGATAGAAAAACTTTATCTTATAATCAACACATATGTGATGCTGTGACCTAACAGAGGGAACTGAAGCACAGATATTATTTGACTAGCTCAAGTTCAAACAGCAACTTAGAGGTACAGTCAAAAGAGAGCCCAGACTTGTCTGATAAAAAAGGGGGACTTTTAGTCAACGTTCTATTGACAAAAAAAATTCCATTCCAGGCTATCAGTTATTTCCATTTCTTCAGGACAGGAAGATCCTTTTTGTTGGAAAGTATTAAAAAAAAATAAAATCACAGGCTTTATTGACTTTGGAACCTTATTCTTCTCTTTATAATTAATTACTTTGAACGTATGAGAAATGTGCATGGCCTAATTATCTAGTTTATGTACATATATATTCAGACTCTTATAAGCATTCAAAGATACTATTACTGATCAAAACATTAACACAACATTAATTTAGATCAACATTTATGTCTTAACAGAATAACCATTTTCCACAACCAGCACAAAGATGGGGAAAAAATCAGTTTCTAATAATACAGGCCATTGTATATGCTGAAACACACCACTTCTTAACCCAACAGTTGTTCACTCCCATGGCAATCCTTATGCAAAGGACCTTATATAGCCATCTTGGGTATCAAGGTTTACAACTAATAGTTGCACTGAAGTAAAGGCTTTTTTCTTTTCTTTTCTAACAGCTGAAGCAAAAGAGGTATAGATCTTAGCAGCAGCAATGTGGGCAAGAGTGGAAAAAAAATCTTGTGTTCTGGAATACCATACATGGATTTTTACATCCATATAAAGCAAGGAAGCTACTTCAAGACTCTCCTATTTAAGGCAGGATTTTAATAACAACATCACAAGTCAGTCAATTTTATTCCCCTTGATGGAAAAAAAACACAGCTTTGTTCTGTGTTGAATATCTGCTATTCTCTTTAGCATACTTACAATAATACTTAGTACTTGTATAGACTTTGCATGTTCAAAGGGTTGCAAAAATATTAAACAACAAGTCCTGTTTTAGTTTAAAATAGTAAATCCTATCCAAAGGTAACATTATCAAAATCAGCTGTTATAATAAATATAAAAATTGTCCAGGTTGGGACTGTGGTCTTGAAAATTACCTAGCACATTTTCAGATGCCCAAAAAACAGCAGTTAAGCAAAAAGTATTTTCTTTCACAGATCAGAGTGCCACTACAAACTCTTTAAATTAAGGAAACAGGAGCCTTCCTGGGGGTAAAGGGGAAGAGGGGCTAGAAGAGGAAAAAGATACCTTTGACAACAAAAAATACTGATGAGGGATGAAAAATCTGCAAGGGATGAATGGGGGTGGGGGGGCCGGGGGAAGAGAGTAGAAACTGTATCGATGAAACACGTCTACAAACAGCATTGTATGACACTAGTAGAGGCAATACCAAAGTTCTATCCCATTTGAAACTTAATAGGCCTAAATCAAGGCACAATGAAGATTAAAAATTAAACAGATTTTTTCCCCTTTAAATAGTGAAATAACTGGTTGAAGTGACTTTTCTATTGCAACTTTACAAGATTGGCCTCTGCTTAAAGGCTAAGTACTTCAGAAAGGAAAAAAAGAAATCAATGAAATGTATGCAAGTTCTGCATGTATAAAAAGTCCCTCAGCTCCCGTATGGACCAAAGAGAAGTTTAACAATGGCCAAACAAACTTAATCCAAATTCAGCTTTGTTTGCAGACCTCTCTGATACAGCTATTAGTTTACTAGGAGCTTCCAGACTGTATGAAGGTACAGTCACTCACAAACACCCCAAACATCACAACAAATTTTAAACTTATGAACACTAAAAGTTTTCCCATAGACCAGTAGCAGACTTTTAAAATCATTTTCTGATGTGCTTCTTAATGTTTAGAGGAAAAGATCTGTGAAAATAAGAGAGTTAACATCCCTTTAGCTATTCTGCTTTTTACACAGGACAGAGGGATGATTGATTCTCGGAACATAAAAGTTCAAAAGCAACTGTAAAAGAGGAAAGAGAACAAGTACCAAGAGTCATTAAGTGGTTTATTTTCTGATACCCGAGAGATATTGGTGCATGCCTAATGCCCTGGATGCATCAAGACAAACGGATCCAGATCATGGCAAAAGATTACTAAAAGATTACTATTAGGCTTTTAAAATGAACACTCCTTTTGACATTCTGGTTCATGGTAACCTAATAACAGAAGAAAGTACAATCAAATAGACTGTAACGTCATAAGAAATGGGTAAAAGGTGGTATGCCACACTGACCAGTCAAAGCAAGCAGCAGCATTCAACAATTTTAAGAACAAACAGTTTACATCTTAACAAGATGACATTGAGCAATTGTCAAAAACTGAAAAGTATAAGTGGAAGAAGCAACTGCATCAACCCCTGAGAACAGAGGAACAACATTCAAGCTCTTCAATACTATTTTCTATTTTGGTGGGAGAAGAGATTTTGGGAGTCTCCTACCTCATTGTTTGGGTCTTGAATGACCTTATAAAGAGCTGGCACCAGTGATTTTTTCCGGTGTAGTGTTGCTGCATAACTGGAGATTTGAGTTTCAGGTAATGCCTAAGGAGAAAACAAACAAACAGGCACAGCAATTACTGTGATGAGTAGGTGAGAATAAAGATTTCCATATACTGACATACTACTATGAAAGCACTAAGCCTCATTCCAACAACAGTAAACACAGTAATTTCAAACCTGAGTCTCAGTCAAGACTGAAATCCACAACTCCTTGTCATAAGGATGGAATTTAGTTCTTTCCAGACCAATTCCTATTAGTTTCAGCAGCAGTTGAAAGCATTCAGCAAATCACAGGCTTAGATCCCTAAATAGCTCAGGACCTATTATAATAAATACCAGTAATACCAATCATAAAGTTATTTGCCCAAACTTTCACTTTGTATTGTCCTAAACTTACATGAGAAGCATGAACAACGCAAAGCAAGTGGTCATGGACAACATCACTTGTCTCACAGGCAACCATGTCGCATCAGATCCTTGCATTACTCTGATCTCCCATGCAGAAATTCTGCACTAGCATCTCCTAAATTCTCATATGTTGACAAGGACATGAAACTGCACCATCAGCTTAAACACTGGTAATACTGATACAACCTAAGACCAGCTTATTCAAAGGGAAAGATTAATAACAATCAAAATTAATCATTACTATTTATGAACTACTTTGATATGTTTCTCAGCTCAGAAAGCAATAAGCAATGAAGGCAGCTTATTTTTGTCTATTTGTTTTTTCAACTATAGCAACACTTTCAGGTTTCTAGTGACAAGAACTAGAGAGTTCATAAATTCTGCAGAGGAAGTTATAGCTGTTTAACAGCTATTTCCACTGGACTTTTAAACTGGGCAAACAATATTTAAAGTTTTAATAACAAATTGTTTATCAAAGTTAAACTTGCTTAAAGTAGTTGGTTTCCCTTTACATTCTAGTAAGATTGATTTAAATAGTGTGATATGTTTTGAATGCAGATCTACATAGCAGGCTATAATGTTTTCACCATTATAATAAACTAAATTAATATTTGTATTTCAACCTGTGCTTTTTATTTTAATACCTTTATACAGACATCTGTGCTATGCAAAAATACAAAAGATTAAAATACTGTTGAAGTTTCTTTTGATTTTTAATGTTTACTAATTAGCATTCTTAATATTACCCGTAACAAAAAACATTGTCATTCATCAGCCTAAGCTTACCTTGAATTCTGATAACCATTCTTCCACCACGCCACGTTCTGATCCCAGCATTTTCTTACAGCTCCTACTCCTCTCTTCCTGTAGGAGAGAAAGAAAAACCCTGAAGTGCCAACTAAAGCTAAAAGGTTGGCAATAAAACATACTGTTACAAAACACCCTCAGTGCAGGAGAGGGTTCTGATATCTGACTGCTAAAATTCATATCAAACATTAACATAAGTTGTATTTCAGAAAATTATTTGCATATTTCAATTTTTATTTTTAAATTGTTCCCTTCATGCTTCTAGCTATAAAGCTACTGTACTTCAAGGAGGGTGGGGGTGGGAAGAGGACTCACTGTTTCAGGCCAAACTGCACATTATCTGCGACAAACACACCACCCATCCCTGTTCCCTTACCAAATATAGTACAAAGAAAAAAGACAACTGGAACAAACTGAGCATCATGGAATAAAACCATGAGAAAAAGGTTATAATGATAATCCTGAATGTGACAAAGCAAAGCTGTTTAATTAAAAAAAAATTAAAGTAAAATAGACTTTTGGAAGTCATAACAGCTGTGCTTTGTCAAAACTGCTCTTGAGGAATTGCAAGCTTCACTTTTCAAACTGCAAATTGGAGGTCTATTCATAGCAATGTGTATATTTTATGAAAGTAAAAACACTACTGTTTTCTTTTTCAGTGGCACACAAATATTGCAACCCTTCCAATATTTAACAACTTATTTACCCATTTACCTGAATCCAAAATTATTTCCAATTTAAGACAGCCTCTCACACCCCTGTAATTAGATTCTACGCATGGAAAATTATAAGTTTGTTATAGTTTTCTATGTATAGAATCTAATTATTGGAAGGTTGCCTTAAATTCACACTCCTTAGCCCCCCACCCAAGGCTGTGGCAGGACAAGCAGCAGCAGCAAGGGATCATGAAGTGGGGAAAGCAGCAGCAGGGGACAGGTAGCTATCCTCAAAACTACCTGTCCCCCAACAACTGTAAACCCCACCTCAACGCCTGCCCCACAGAGCTTCCCCTCTCCTCCCCCCGCTGCCACTTAATCTATGCCACAGCTCTGACCCCAGCCCTAACCAGGCAGCAGCAGTAATGGCAACTTCAGCCCCAGCCTCAACATTGGGGCTGCAGCTGGAGTGACAACAGTTCACCTGCCACTATGCAGTCTCCCCCACTCTTGGGTGGGGGCTGGAGTCAGAGCAGCAGACGCCACCTGTCCCAGGCGGTACTCAAATCTAAAATAAGGTTTCTTCCACCCCACGCTGAATGGAGAAAAAAAAAAAAA